GTGAAATAAGACTTAGCTAGGCAGTCTTAGAAGGATCTCAAAAATAGAAGGGAGCCAATGGAAGGTGAAAACATACCAAAGGAGGCTGGAAAATGGGTAGAAAACAGAGCAAGTGATGCAATCTGACATGACAGAAAAAGAACGTGTTGTAGTGATCTCCCATGGATGGGGACAGTCGAGAGGGGGAACTTTCACCTTGAGAGAAAACCAGGCACTGGATGCTTGGAACAGGGTTGGGAGGGAAGTCTGCACTGTCATATGCACAAGCGCTAGGTATGTTTCCAAAAAGAAACAGGGGAAGCCTTTTTATGTGCAAACAGGTAAGACTGCTGTATTGCTAGTTTTTTGTTAGTGCATGTATTTTTTTTTCCTGTGGTTTCATTATCATGAAATCTGTAGATGACTAAAATAACTTAAGGGCAGATTTCTGAAGATGTGTGAATGTTTATTTTGTATCTGTAAGCATCCAGATCCTTTAACAAAGTTATCCCTCGGGCCATGCCATTACATTTCCTGCATTCCTCACAAAACAGTATCTTTGTTTTTGTAACTTCGCGGCTTTCCAAGATTCTGCATCTCTCACATGTCAGACCTGAACGTAATGGTGAGCTCCTTCAGTCTGCAGACATCTCTTCTGTTTCCTCCTCCTGAGGGAGGCCATGTCACCAGATGGACTTACCCGGCCACCTCCGTACTTCACTGCCAAAATGGCAGCTACAGAGTGTAGAGAGAGCCCTCGCACTCAGAAGGCAGGGCCTTTGGGGTGCCCACGCCGAACTCAGCACTCGCTCTGCCTCACCTGAGAGTTTGTGCTGCAGCAGGAAGGAGCAGAGCTGAGCGGTGCTGACTGACTGGACGTGCCAGTGAGAGCATGAAAGCCACTGGCAAAAACAGCATTTTTGATGTTTATGCAGTATTGGCCAGGCTGAATCCTTGCAGCACACTATGCAAAAAAGCAGCAGAGAGGGAGCAAACCATGGTGGCACTCTGTGCATTAAGCCTTCTTTTTTTCAGCCGATCACATGGCACAAGGGCCTCTCTGCCCTTCTCCTGTTGCTTACAGGAGGGGCACCGTGCCGTCAGCCATTCCTGTCCGCCTTACTGAACAGGCCATGGTGGCGGCTGCTCCTCACAGGCAAGAAGAGTAAAGGAAACGGAGCCTGACTGAAGCAATTAGATACAAAATTGGCAACTTCATCACGTGTTACTTTGATGATTACATTTGATTGCTGTTTACTTTTTTACCTGAGAGCCGGCTGCTGAAACACCAGATGGTTATAGTCAGAGTGGGATTTGGAGAGGGCCACGCAAGCTGTTGTAATACAAGGCAAGCCCAGCTTTCCATCAGCAAGAGAGGCATCTTGACCTTTGGTATTTTTTTAGAAATAGGCTTTTTTTTCTTCTTCTTCTTTTTCTTCTTTTAGTTATTAAAATTGGGCCACTAATTTGAAGAGGTGCAGTTATTTTTGGAGTGTTCCATAAAATTTGGGAAGGGCTGGAAACCATCTATTTCCTCTCCCATAGGCACAGATACCCGAGCAACAGCTCAGAAGTGGCTAGCCTGTGGGCAGCTCTTCAGGCTTTTGAGTGAGATCAAATAGACTTCTGAAGTAATAGATGTGCAGGTGAACATCAAAGCTTAATAGACTGAGAGACGGTCATGTGAGCACAGGAGGCCCGTGTCCCACGTTACGGTGCTACAAGGTCTGCTGTGCAGACTTAGCATGCACAGAAGACAGCTAAAGGACCAGGGGATTTGAAGAGAGGTTGAGTGTTTCTACCCTCTTTTTATAAGATTTACACATTTTCCTTTCCAAGTGTTTCCTTGTGATAGCTGGAGAGAGGGGATTGTCTGGGGATGCTCAGTCCTAGAGCTGAGTCTTGAGGTAAGCATCCAAAACTGTTAAACTCGTATAAAATGGACAGGAATTGGTATAATTTTGAAAAACTTGTTCTGTCAGTCTTTGTGACTGACTTGAGCTGTGTCAGTGACATCATCCTCAAGATCTTACATAGTTTCATTAGGTAAAATTATGTTATTCAATGGACTTGTGTTATTTAATGTGTTATTTAATTTTGGGTGGTCCTGTGTGGAGCCAAGAGTTGGATTCTGTGATCCTAATGGGTCCCTTCCAACTTGTGATATTCTGTACTCTTATGATGCTTTGAGTCATTGGGAAAATGTTTAATACTGTTAAATCTGGAAGGTCTCATTACTTTGATAATCAAGTTTTGTCCCCTGACGTAAGAGTTTCCTCTGTGTACTTGTGCAACATTCCTACTGCTGAGGCCTTCTTCAGCCACCACCCCTTGGCTCTCTTCCCTCAACCCCCTCAGATGTCACCATTGCCAGTAATAGTAAAATCAAAGAAAAAATGTGATTCTGTTGATGAACAAGGAGGTTTGCAAGGAATCTTGATCATGAATGCATGAGGGCCACAGATAGCAGTGGAGAGCTGGAGAGATTTTGTTTCTCCTATGGAAAGACTGATGAGTCTCAAGACTGTTGGTATTCATGCCCAGAAAATGAAGCACAGGTGTTGTATGCATTGCTTTTATATAGAGTATTAAAACTCAAAATTTGATCTTTTTAGCATTTTGAAAAGCATACTGTCTAACAGGAGTCTTCTTTTTGGAAGAGGTATGTTTTGTATCAGCAGCAAGTAGATAAAAGCTTTCAGCAACTTGTTTCATTTGTCACAAGTGAGCATTTGATGCTACTGCTTCCTCCATATTAGGTAAAAGCTTTTATAAAACATTCATAAACTTCTGTGGTTATTACTGAATCATGAATATCTAAGCAAACTCACAGATATTTAGCAGCCTTTTATACTGTGCATGTGTTTTCTTTACTACAACCTAAGCCTTCAAAACAGTAAAATTATTCATTCTTTGTATTAGGGATCACTTGGTCCCAAGAAGACTTGATGAGGGGAAGAAAAAAGATGTGCTAGCAATGTGCCCATGGGACAGAAAAGGCCACCAGAATGCTGGACTGCATTAGGCAGAGCATTGCCAGCAGATTGAGGGAAGCGATCCTGCTCCTCTGCTCAGCACTGGTGGGGATGCACCTGGATTCTGGGCTTGGTTCTGGGTTTCCCAGTACAAGAGAGACAAGGACTTACTGGCACCAGTCCAGTAAGATGATAAAGGGATTGAAGCATTTCTCTGTGAGAGAGTTGGACTGTTCTGCTTGGAGCAGGTGTAGTCCAGAGGCATCTTATTGTTGTGCCTAGGTTCCTGATTGGAGTGCAGAGGTGGAGAATAAAGAGTACAAAACCAAACTGTTTTCAGATGCCTCCAGTGATGGGCAGTGGGCACAGAATGAAAAACAAGAAATTCCATTTGAACATAATGATTGACATTTGGACTAGATGATCTTGGAAGTCTTTTCCTTTGTGATTCTGTAAGAATAAGCTGCTTTTTTTTTTCTTCTTTTTTTCCTTTTTTTTCTTTTTTTTTCTTTTTTTTCTTTTTTTTCTTTTTCCTGTGCAAGTGACTGAGCACTGGCACAGGTTGCCCAGAGAGGCTGTGGGGTCCCTCCTTTTGGAAATCTTCAAACCCCAACTGGATGCAGTTCTGAGCAATTAACTTTTGCTGTCCCTGGATTGGACTGGCAATTTCCACAAGTCTCTTCCAACCTCAGTTATTTTGCATTTTGGTAGTGTCTGGGATGCAGCAAATGAGAAGCCTGTTGCATAGTTATAAGGACACTGATCCGCACTTTGAGCAGCATGGAGTAGAGCAGGCTGCCTATTTCCACTGCAGAACCAATCAGCTATTAGATGATGACTTGTATTCATTAATGACATTAAATGGATTTTTAACATGGAAACGAGAAGGGGAAAGCAGGGTAACTCATTATTAGCTATGGGTTTGCCTGAAGCAAATTTCCCATGTTAAAACACTTAAAAGCAAATATAGAATTTATGGTGTGTCATTAGGTTTTAAACCTAAATAATGTCCAGTTGTTGTATGGCTAATAATGCAAATTATCTAAGTCAGCCTCAGTGTAAAACAGTAAATATATACTGTCCACTCAAACATGCTTTTCCCCCTCGTCCCCCTTTTCCATTAATATTTTATACCTCTGAAGAGACGTTCTCAACATATTATGTGCACTAGCATACTGTTCTCATGGTATTCCTGGATTTCATTACAAAGAAGCCTGAAGAGTGTACCACTGCTCTGCTGCTTGTGATGCTAGCTTGGAAATTGCTTGGAGCAACAACAGCAAGTGTCAACAGGGAGCCATATTAATTATTTGGAATGTGCCTCATAAGAGGAATCAACTGCTTTTATTGCAGCACGAATATTACTTGAAACAGGAAGGTTACTCTAGCTGTTATCGTAATCTATGTGTCATTAACTTTCCGTGTTTAGAAAAAGAGATTAACAACCCTGTAAATTGTTACAGTAAATAGATGAATTATAACAACATGTTTTTTATTATAAATAAAAGTTTCTTGATATAGTTACTTCCAAATTACTGGAGAAGAATTGAGTCTCTACCTACTGGGAAGCTGCATGGCAGTGTTGAGAACTGAAAAGCTTCCATTCAGGTGAAAGCAATGCTAAGCTCCACAAAGAAGTGTCTGTATCTTCTGCAGATGGGACAAACAGATGCAGTTGTACTTCATACCATACTTCCTTCAGAAATTTTTGTGATGCAGAAGTACTAGTTTGCCTCTTAGAGTGAAATTAATACATTGAATGGGTTTTTGTGAAACTGGTTGACTTCTGTGGCATATGGCCTCTTAAGAGAACATTGTGCAAAATGTACATAAATGTACATGGTAAAACAGATATAAGTTCTGGGTAGATGCCTTTACAAAATGGAAGTTCATCTTCCTTTTGAACATTAGTGCACGTGAAAAATGTGCTTTAGAAAAAATACAAACCTGTTCCGAGTCCTGGGCCGTAAAAATGTTGTATGTTTAATTATACCCTAATAGATTTCTGTAGAAAACAGCGCAACTAAAACACTTATTTGTCCACAGGGCAGGCTCACCATGGGCAGGTTTCCTATATTGCCCCACCAATCCACCTCGATTCAGATCTGGAGCGACCACCATCTAAGGGTGAGTCAGAGGTGCAGTCTCCATGCATGTGCATTGTGAAAGGGCCAAATACATGAGTGTATATCATTCATTTGTTCATTGAGTAGCTGCAGTTAGCATGCTTCATCCAAGTGCTCAGGAGCAAATAATTTCCTCTGGAAGTATTGTATGAGAGAGAACTGTGTCCCATGTGCCACATTACATAGTTTTGAGTATACTGTTTTGTTCACAAGTCACATTGCTTTCTCCACTAGTTCACTTCTGGGATATGTGAACCTCAGTTCTTGCCCTCTGCATTCTGCATTTCCTTTCTAGTTGTAGTGCACAGGCAAGGGGGGGCTTGTAGCAGTATGCAAAAAAGCATGTTTCGGCTGCCTTCAGGTGAGTGAAGGTACATAGGTATTTTGCAGCAGTTCAGTCCTGGAATCCATCCATGCTATCATTATCAAGGATTTTTTCAAAATTGGTAGAGAGACATGGTAACTCCAGAGAATGACTCCAGTTTTGGGTTACCTGATTAGTAGCTAATATATGTGGACTGAACCCAGAGTAGCTCTGCTAAGATATGTGTCTCTGTTGAATTGTGAAAATAAGGTGATATGAAAGGGAACCTTTGATTTCTCAGCCTGATTTAGAGGATCTTCATCTAGCTGCACTGTGATGAACCCTCACTGTTTTCCCCATGGCCTGGGGAAATGGGCTGAGACCCAGAGTATGCATTCACTGCTACAAATCAAGCAGCATACAAAGAGATTTCTTGATCAGCTTCAGGAATGTGTAGGAACAACAAACACAAGCAGTGTTATGGAAGAAAGGAATGGGAGAAAAATGCGGCAGCCAAAGTGTGCTAGCAGGCAGATAACACTATAGATTAGGGGTTTTTGTTTGTTTGTTTTGTTTTGTTCCCTTCTCCTGCCCTTCAAAATGTGTTGCAGTGGCAAGAAGGATATGGGCTTGTCCTTTGTAGTGATTATCCTGTTCTGCTTCAGCACTGTAAGGCTGAGAGCGTGTTTGTGTGGGTATGTTTCTCTAAAAGTATATGGTTGAAAAATATGTTAATGAAAGATTAATCTGGATAGGCTCACTGTCATTACATAATATGAAAAAATCTGTCCTCTAAATTTCACTTTTTCGTGCATTTCTAATGTTCTCAGAGACAGAACAACCTTTGTGTCAGTGAATTGCAGCTGCAACTGCAAACATATCCCTCACCTCCAATAGCCGAAGGACTTCGTAGACTAAATGAAAGCATGCCATTAATGCACTTGGCATGAAAGGCTGTCTTAAGTTCAAGTGAGCTTTTCCATCACCATCCATGCGTCTTGATCTGTAATTCGATCAAGTAAACGTTTGTTTCCCTTTGTAAGTGTGAATGTGTGTTTTCTCAGCTGATGAAGTAATGAAAATGAAGGAATTGACTCTTGCTGTACAAAACCAGCCTCAGCACAATTATTTATTGGTAGTTCCTCTTGCATCTCTATGAGGTAGAACTATGTTCTGGAGGGCAGATGATGCTGGATTCACGGTGCTGTCTCCGAAGTTAGGCTTGTTGTGAGTCAGATCAATCACGTACAGTGTCCTGGCAGTGTACAGCTTCCATTCATTTTTAGGTGAGGAACACCCAAAGATGAGATTTGACACATATGAGATTGTCAACTTATTCTAAGCTACTCGAAAACCTCAAGGTTTATAATAAAACTTGCCAGCCAAAGCAGATTTTTTAGCAAAGCATTCCAATAGAGCAGAAACAGATAGGAATTTCAGCACCTTCTCACTCAAATCTTACTTTGATGTTGAATGTAATGATTCAGAGCTTAATTAGAATAGGTCAGTGTACATCTTTGTCATGGGGTTTGAAGCAGCCTATATGGAATGAAACAGCAAGGAGAATGAAACAACAGCAAAGATGATGCTGTGCCTTACTTTCTCCAAGGTAAAAGAGCTAAGGATTATCAAAAACCTTCAGTAATCTGCCATTTGGGAGGTCATAGCTACCTCTGCAAGATGAATGCCACTGCCAACAGGAGCAGGGCAGTGTCTATCATGCAGAACAGTTGCAGCACTTGCAGAGAAGGTAAAATAGAGTTTGTTCAACATAAACTGCTGCATTAACTGCTTCCACTGGGCCATCCACCCCCCAACTGAGACATTTTAAAGAAAGGACTGCTTAGTGTGGAAGGAATTATATTGCTGGTGCCACATGCTGGTAGAAGGACTTGAATCCCTTTTGTAATTTAATGGAAGAGAACCAGGGAGGCAGCCAATCCATTAGCTGGTGTCTGGGGGGGTGTTAAAAATATGGTAATTGGTACTCTCTCCTGGGGAAGAGTGAGGCTTTCCTTTGGCCCTGGGACATCTAGCTATGCATGTGCTGCCTCATTTCCAGCCTCAGTGCCCAAAATCCATTAGGACGTTCTAAAAATCATGGTGTGGGTTTTTGTTGTTGTTGTTGTTGTTGTTTTTTCTAAGTATGTAGCAGTTATGAGGTGGCTTTTTTGGCTACATTTTCTGAGACTATGGGACACACTCAGATTATGTTTCAAGCTTTATCCCATTGCCACAAGGTGTATTTTCTAAAAAAGGAGGACGAAACAACCTCTATCGTGAAGCAGTTGTTGATTCTCCACAATTTCAATAGCTGGGACTTCAAATTTAGAGTAGCAGGTTACAACAGTGAACATAAATCACTAAATGCTTTAGTTGCTTTGATGCCCTTCATTTCCCTTCCATATTCTTCCTAGCACTGAGCTGAACACCAGTTACCGGTTAGTGTTGTTAGTTAAAATGACAAAAAGAACATAGGTGATAGCCACCTTACAGTTTTAATTGTAATAAATGAAAATTGAGCCAGGTTAGGGATATAAAAACATCTTTCCTTCCTGTATTAAAAACTGTACAGATTTAGTGCTGCTATGGGTCTATGCAGTTGCAATTCTCAGCTGGCAGATTTATTTGTAAATGCTTCTTCCTTCTCCTTTTTAAAAATTTTATCGCTGGTGACATTTACCCACATTGTTTATGCATGCAGCGCATTTTTACCTGCCTTTCAGAGTCCTGATGCTTGTGCTGAATAGAGTATAAACTCCAGTAGTTTACTAGTACATTAGTGTCATCATACATTACAGGGTAATTACTCTGAGCCACTGCTCTGTATAGTAATGCAGTAATGACACCGTAAATCACTTAATAGAAATAAGGTGCTGTATCAGCATTTGAAACAAGACGCTGATTTTTACCCACCCCTTTTTTAATTTGAGGGTATTTTCAAATTAGTTCCATATATGAAGCAGTGTTAACCATTATTTTTATACTTCCTCTCAGTCTGATGATTCAGATGCATTATTTTTACTCACCTGTTTACGCTGTCCATATGCAGAATGATTCCAGGGGTAGATAAAGTCTTGGACCACTGAATACAAGTAAAATGCCGTTGGTTTGCCAAAGGGGCAGTTGTGTCTTCATCATGCATGGTCCCAATGATGATGCAAGCTAGGACTGGTGGCTGGATTTTGAAATCATAGAATCATCTTTGTAGGCCTCCTTTGGATGATCCCTAATAGTTTTTTTGTTTTTCTTGTATTGTGGCACCCAAAACTGCACCCAGTGTGCTGGAGGTGAGGCTGCACAGTGCAGAGCAGAGTGAAACAACCCCTCCCCTTGCTCGGTGGCAGTGCTGGGTCTGGAGCACCCCACGGTATGGTTAGTCATTTGGTTACAGGGTACACTGCTGTTTCAGATCAAACTTATCATCAACAAGAATGCTCAGATCCCTGTTCCAGAGGGCTGTTCTCCAACCTCTTGAGCTTCCCATTTTGAGGCTAGTGTACAGAGAGAATCTATTTACCTTGGTGAGCTCTGTTCCCTGTCTTCCATGGGTAGCCAATAGTGTTCCAAGAACCTTTCTTTCACTTGGGCTGGGCAGTCCTGTCTTACTGAGCTGTAGCCATTAATCATTGTACTATGGCACCAAACCCTTTCTTGTAGTTATACTTGTGATCTCATAGGCTGAGAATTAAACCTATGTTTAAAAATGGGTCATTGGTTACTGATAATAGCAAGGAATTTCACAGATAAGGGTGATTCTGATACACTGCCTTAGAAAAGAATTTCATGGAATTATCATATATAGCAATAAATTAAGTTCAGCATTTGGACTGAGTTTCCATCAGGTACTAAAATACAGTAGATAGAGTGAATTAAACTCTGAATCCACACACTAAAACTATTTATAAAGCTTTATTGAAGCAGATTTGGGTGTATATGTGGAGTCATATTAAACATGAAATATATGCCTGGCTTTTACAACTAGGCAGTCCAAGAAGCTCTCCTCCCCCATTGAGCTAGCATTTTCCAAAGGTTTCCTTCAAAGTCAAAGCTCAAGGGGAGTAGTTGTCTTGGAGATTGATACACTTAAAGTCAGTGTGTTTCCAAAACATGAAATTATTAGCAAAACCATTTATTGCTCCCCAGCTCTACAAATATATAGCAAATAAAGGAGAGATGGGAGGTTCTCACCCTTCCATGTGTATTTCTCAAGCCAGGAGGTTGTTCTGGTCCCAGTTCAAGTATCGGGACTGTTTTCTTTTAAATCTCAGTTACGTGGTTCAGCCACCGTGGGCACAGAATCTCTTTCTATAGGAAATCCTGTTGGATTTTCTATCAGGGAGACAAGCAGAGGTTTTGCTGTTTTTCTTCTTTCCTTTCCAGCTCAGCGGTATACCCCTTTATGAATCCTTCCCTCAAAAGCTGGGCCCACTTTATCATTTTTCTTCCTCTTTACATTTGCAAAGTCTGAGGAATAGTCAACCTGATGCTCCTGAGCATCAGAAGCACTGCAAAATCTTATTGCCAAAAATAGATCGGGTTTTGGGATGCACACATTCTGGGCCTTTTTTATCCTCCTCCCAAAGGTCCCAGAGAAGGTCGCTGGTTTTGCAGATGATGTGGGAAGATGTGACAGCCGGTTACCAGCAGGGCTGGTTGCACAGCCCAGCACTCCTTCCCAGACCCAGAAAGGGGGA